GGGCTGCCCCAGCCCAACTCTCTCCTGCTGGGCTCCCAGCAGAGGGGTTCCTGCCCTTGCACCTTTTCTCCTCTGGACCTGCTCCAGCAGGTCCACGTGTTTCTTGCAGTGGGTGCCCCCCAGGGCTTCCCTGGAGAGGACCAGGTGCTCAGAGCTCTGCTGAGCAGGGAGATTCACATTGCAAAGGCTTTTGCAAAAGCAGAATGAATGGGGATGGGTGAAACCCTCTGAGATCCTCCAGCACCATCACAGTTTCCACCAGCCACCCACTGGGCTCCAAACACAGGATTTGACACTAAAAATGAAGCTGAAGATGTCTTCTAGTCAGGTGGGGAGGTGCCAGGAGAGGCCACGCTGCACGTGGAGGGATACCTGGTCTCTCAGCTCAGCTAAAACCTCCACCCAAGGAGGAGAGACATGTCCCAGGGGTCTTGCTGTCACCACAAACACCAATGCATGGATGCAACCATGGCACGGGCTGAGCATGACCCCAGGAGTATGCAGTGAATGTTCTGCAGAGCAGAAGTACCTCGTCTATTGTGTGGTAGGAGGCAAAATCAAACGTGCTGATGCTCCTCTCGACCCTCCTAGACTTCTCCATGGTCTTCTTTTCCTCATCCAATAGTTCCTTTTGAAGGGGGGGTGGAGGAAAAACCAGAACAACCATCAGACAGGCTGGAAGGAGCAGGTGATTGTGTTTTTCTTCCATCCTCTCATGGATTCCACCTTTTTGGACCTTCTCTTGGGATTGAACTGCAGGAGCTGATCCCTGCCACAGCCCTCACCTGCAGGTCCTCGATCATGATGCTGTAGGAGATGTTATTGGACTCCAGGAAGGTTTTGACAGGCTGGAGGCTGGGGAAGGGCACCCGCAGGTCGACCAGGCGGCCTGGGCTGGTGGGGTGACGCCAGAAGTCAAGCTGGTGTGGAGAAGAGGAGAGAGCTCAACCCCACCCCGTGCCACAGCTCATACACCGAGCTCCCCACACCGAAAGGCATCTCAGGAGGATCTCTACCCAAGGATTTTAAATGGACTTAGGACAGGTGCTGGGACACGTGTGGGTGCCAGGGTGGGACAAGGTCCCCTCGCCTCACTCACTGGATCTTCTACAGAAACGTTCCAGCCCAAGTCACTTTGCTGGCTGCCAACTCCCCTTTGAAGGATGAGGTTTTGTGGTTTGAGAGGACACGATGAGACACCTCGTGTGCTGGTGTTGAGCTTTAATTGCACAGACCTAGCTCCTTGCATTGGCTGTGTGGTGGAGATGCTGAAATTGTTCACCAGGATTCATCCCCCTACCCCCAAAGTGACCATAGAAAATGCAGCAAGGGCAGAGGCACGTTGGTATTCAAGCCAAAAAAAATGCAACAACATTTTAGACCTGAGTGCTCAGCCTGGGTACAGTGATGGTGCCGTGGCCGAGGTGTTCCAGCCTCATCTGAAATTGAGAGCTGAGCTCACAGTGCCCCAAGCTAAATCTTATCATAGAGTCAGAGAATGGGTTGGGTGGGAAGGGAACTTTCAAATCCATCCAGTCCAACCCCCTGCAGGGAGCAGGGACAGCCCCAACTAGAGCAGGTTGCTCAGAGCCCCGGCCAACCTCCCCTGGGATGGTGCCAGGGATGGGGCAGTGACCACCTCTCTGGGCAGCCTGGGACAGGGGCTCAACACCCTCAGATTCCAAAATTTCTTCCTTCTCTCTAGTCTAAATCTCCTTCTTTGAGTTTCAAACCATCCCCCCTTGTCCTGTCCCAACAGTCCCTGCTCAAAAGTCCGCCCCAGGTTTCTGGCAGTCCTGGCAGCCCCCAGCAGGTCTCCCCAGCTGGAGCCTTCTCCTCTCAGCTGCCCCAGCCCAACTCTCTCCTGCTGGGCTCCCAGCAGAGGGGTTCCCCCCTCGGGGCATTGCTGGGGCTCCTCTGGCCCCGCTCCCGCAGCTCCCTGGCTCTGCTGTGCTGAGGACTCCAGAGCTGCCCCAGCACTGCAGGGGGGTCTCCCAGAGCTGGCAGAGGGGCAGGATCCCCTCCCTGCCCTGCTGCCCACGCTGCTGGGGGGGCAGCCCAGGCTGGGGGGGCTCCTGCCCAGCTCCTCCCCCCCAGCACCCCCAAGATATTACGGTTATAAATTCTATCTACCGAAAATAAGACAAAGAATTGGATGGAAGGGAAAAGGCTGTCCCCAGGGTCTGCTAACAGCAGGGGATGCGCAGAGGGGCAGGATCCCCTCCCTGCCCTGCTGCCCACGCTGCTGGGGGGGCAGCCCAGGCTGGGGGGGCTCCTGCCCAGCTCCTCCCCCCCAGCACCCCCAAGATATTACGGTTATAAATTCTATCTACCGAAAATAAGACAAAGAATTGGATGGAAGGGAAAAGGCTGTCCCCAGGGTCTGCTAACAGCAGGGGATGCTTGTGGCCCCCGCC